CTAATCAGACCAGCAGTAGGAGTTAGAATTATGAAGTAGTCTTTCAACAATGTAATGGTAAAATTGGAGTCCTAACATGTAATAAACAGAAATCCAAGTCTGAAGACAGTTTAAGATTGTATTATTGAGGAGTTTGCCCTGAATGTAAACTGATGGATGTGGGCACAAACACACATGACAAAGAACAAGCAGTGGTGAGGATTTCCCTTTCGACAGCTATGCCTCCTCTGAAGTCTTTGTTAAATACTTCCATTTTCAATTTTGTAAAAGACTTCCGCAATATGCTGTAATTCTGACTCCTACCTTTAGATTTTCATGTTGACTGCCCTGTTGCCAACTGACTTCTCAGAAACATTGGACAGTGAGATGATGTTTAAATTGTTCCTGACCTTGCAAGGTGCACTGAGGAAATCAAACAGCTGATATAAAGTGAAAAGGAATTTTGTTTCCCCAGACAGACTGACACTGTCGGACCCCCGCCCCTAGTGAATGGGCGGTGTGCACCATTGACAGTGAGGAAGGTGTGCTGAGTAGATGTGTGTGACTCCCTAAGCATTGACCTGTAGGGAGAGTAAAGCCACAAAACAAAATGGGATGACCTCTAAGTTTAATTGTAATCTTAAAAAGCTCTTGAACATCTCTAGTGTGTGAGACACTGCATCACAAAGAAGGACTTTGGGCTGGATTTTCATTTACCAGGCCACATGAGAGTGGGACGTTGGGCTGGAGACATCAACAGTAGAGTGAAGGAATCCTGAAAGTCGTTGATCCCTTCACAGTGTCAACAACATGTTTCTCCCCAGAGGCTATCCCAACTGATAGGCTTGGCCTCTCATTGTCAGGGAGCAGTCCAGACAGGATTGCAGGAGAAGTAGGTGGGCCACCTGAGAGCTGGTGCTGGGTGGACAATGGTAGTTGATTTCTGCAAAACACCTTCAGGTCAGGGGTTGATCCCAGAGTTGAGAAGGTCAACAGAGAGTGGCACTGATCCAGATTTCCAGGGTGAGTATTGATCAAGGGTTCCTTGGTCCAAGGTGTGGATTTGGAAACTCAGAAGATGCTGGTGGCCTCAAGTAGAGATTGCAGGACTTGGGGGAGAACATAAACATGGTAGAGAAGGGGTGTTATCGTAGGTGCCTATTTGGTGGGAAGGTTCACAGAAGGACTGGAGCACGAGAGAATGAGGGTGGGTGTGTTTTTTTTTCCTTTATTCATTCACGGGTTGAGGGTGTCACTGGCTGGGCAGCATTTATTACCCATCACTAATTGCCCAGAGGCTGTGGCTCTGGAGTCACACGTAGGCCAGACCAGGTAAGGATGGCAGTTTCCTTCCCTAAAGGACATTAGTGAACCAGACGGGTTTTTCCCCAACAATCGGCAATGGATTCATGGTCATCATTAATTCCAGATATTTATTGAAATCAAATTCCATCATCTGATGTGGCGGGATTCGAACCCTGGTCCCCAGAACATTATCTGGGTCTCTGGATTAACAGTCCAGCAATAATACCACGAGGCCATCACCTCCCCTGCTATGTGGCCTGGAGGGGACAATGGGTGATCAGGGAAGGTCACACTGATTTGATTGTGGGACAACGCTTAGATCCAGGAAAGGGAGGCTGTAGATCTGTGTGGGCAGGGTGTTTGGATATCCATAGGGGAGCTCTAGACTGGAAAGATATAGGTTTGGGGGAATCAGAGGTCTTTAGGGTTAGGTTGTAGGAAGGGGTGGTTGTGGAAGAGGTTATGGGGGTGGAATCTTGGCATTAGAGGGTGAGTAGTGGTGAGGCTGTGGGGAGAGTTAGGGCCATGTATCCAGTCATGGCAGAGTTGCCCCTCCAACAGATAATGAAAAGCCACTTGACTCACCTCAGTTTGACTGCTGGGGTTCTTCAGGATCAGGAAGCCGAGCTCTCTACATTTTTAAATTCAATAGATTGTACGACAATGAGGCGAGTAACCTCATTATTGTGTTTAAAATGCCAGCTCATGTTCTTGAAACCAGTTAATCACTCTACCCCCCAAGCCACCTCAGTTAAAATTGGAGGGGAGTTTGTGCCAGGACTATGATTCTAACACCACACTCCAATCCAAAGCCACCCATTATTGGAGTGAAAACTGCCTCCTACTCCAAATGTATCACTCCAAGTTCATACTGATACCAAATTAATGAGCCAAATTTGAGCCATTATCTGTGTTAAACAACAGGGTTCACTAAGTCTCATATAGGGATCTCTTGACAGGATGTATCAGCATGATGACTTTCACCTTTGAGATTTGTGTTTAAGTACTGCCCAAAAAGATGTCAGACACAAAAACACATCATTTCACTGGTTTTGTTAGCTGTTGATTTTCTAACTAATTTGACACTCTGAACCTAGTTCCTGTTAATCATGAGCCGAGGGCATACGACTAGTATAATTGGTGTTATCCTGGGAATCTCAGAGAGTGAGTCTCCAGCTTTCTGTAGGAATAGGCATGACACAATTGGTGCATCACAGGTTCACCTTCTCAGCCTGAGGCCCATTGCTAGGTGGGGTAGATGGAGTTTATTTTGTAACTGGTTGTGGTTGATGCTCGCCAAACTTTTACTCATTTGAGATAGTAGGAACTGCAGATGCTGGAGAATCTGAGATAACAAGGTGTAGAGCTGGATGAACACAGCAGGCCAAGCAGCATCATAGGAGCAGGAAGGCTGACGTTTCGGGCCTAGACCCTTCTGATGAAGGGTCCTATGATGCTGCTTGGCCTGCTGTGTTCATCCAGCTCTACACCTTGTTATCTCTTTTACTCATTTGAATTGCTCTTCGTTGTTTGTTCACATCAGCAGGGAGCTCAAAATCATAACATGCCAGTTAGAAAGGTGTAGCCTGCACATCTTAAAGGAACACTGTATCATGGCTGGAATAAGTGTTGGCATTCCTGCAAGAAATGAATCTAAATATTCAAGAATGACATAACATGACACAGAAAGAGAGAGAGAGAGCTTGAGATATTTTGCACTGGGGGCCTTGATGATGGAAGACTGTAGTATTCAGTAGTTCAATTGTTTGGGGTTTTATTATGTGTGCCTGTTAACTCTTCCCTGTTCTGTGTCCTGTGTGTCAAGCCAAGGTGTGATTACTGAGAAAGAGAAACAAAACTGAAAGCAGGAGGTTGAAGCATGAGAGTACAGACATTTTAAAACAGCACTCGTCACTAAAGCTCCTGTCCATACACAGAAACTGATGTCATCTCTGCATAACTCTGAGGCACAAGCTGCAATGTAGGAAAGATGGCCCACCGTCCTCAGGAGACTCACCAGCCACAATGCCCAGAAAGCAGCAGAATGGAGGTCAATATGAGGAGACAAGCCCTGAGGATCCCACAGCGCTGTCAAAAACTCAAATGTCCTCACATAAGCAATCAAGGTTAGCGAATGCATCTTCAAATACGACTTTCTATTAAATACAACTTGGGCCTCACATACTATTCATTTAACCACAGCCCCATCTCTTCCCTACCAATTATAAAGAACATAAGAAACAGGAGCAGGAGTAGGCATCTGGCCTGTCCAGTGTCCTCTGCCATTCAATAAGATCATGGCTGATCTTTTCATGGACTCAGCTTCACTTACCCGCTCGCTCACCATATTCTTTAATTCCTTTACTGTTCAAAAATCTCTTTGCCTTAAAAATGTTCAATGAGGTAGTCTCAACTGTTTCACTGGGCAGGGAATTTCACAGATTCACAACCCTTTGGGTAAAAAAAAGTTCCTCCTCAACTCAGTCCTAAATCTGCTTCACTTTATTTTGAGGCTATGCCCCCTAGTTCTAATTTTACCCACCAGTGGAATCAACCTGCCTGCTTTTATCTTATCTGTTGGTCATTGGTCCATATCCCTCCATTCCTTGCATAGTCATTTCCTTAACATTTTATCTCCAAAGGTGCAGCATCTCATATTTGCCTGGATTGAAATCCATCTGCCATTTCTCTGCCCATATCTGCAACTGATCTGTACCCCACTGTATCCTTTGACAACCTTCTACACTATCCACAACTCCACCGATCTTTGTATCATCTGCAAACTTACTAACCCACCCTTCTACATTTTCATCCAAGTCATTTGATCCCTGCGGAACACCACTAGTCATGGACCTCCAGCCAGAAAAATACCCTCCACCACTACCCTCTGCCTTCTATGGGCAAGCCAATTCTGAATCCATGCGGCCAGGTCACGTGGATCCCACACATCTTAAACTTCTGGATGAGCCTACCATGTGGGACGTTGTCGAAAGCCTTAGTAAAATCCAAGCAGACATTGAATTAATGGAGTAAAGGCAAACAGCTCACCAGTAGCTGATGGCCTGTGTCTGAGCATTTTAAAAGAGGTGGCTGCAGAGACAGTGGAGACACTCTTCAAAATATTTCAGAACTCTCTGGATTCCAGAAGGTTTCCAGCAGATTGAAAAACCAATAAAGTATTGCATGAATTCAAAAAGGGAGATTCACTCAGCTGATTCCTGAGATGAAGGGGTTGACTTATCAAGAATGGCTGAATAGGTTAGGTCTTTATTCATTAGAGTTTAGAAGAATGAGGGGTGATCTTATTGACACATACAGGATTTTGAGGGGATCTGACAAGGTAGGTGGTGAAAAAATGTTTTCACTGGAGGGAGAATCTCAATCTAGGGAATACAGTTACTGTACAAGGGAACACTCATTTAAAACCGTGACATAAAGTAATTTCTTTTCCCAGAGGTTAGCGAATGTCTAGAACTCTCTACCCCAGAGAGTTGTGGAGGCGAGATCACTGGAAGTATTTAAAGAGGAGGTGGATAGAAAGATTTTTGAAGTATTGGGCAGTTGACAGCCACGAGTAGCTGACAACAAAGAGGGATTGGGAAGGTAAGCCCATCTTGCCGAATGGTGGGGTAGGCCTGAGAGACCAAATGGCCTACTCCTATTAGTTACGTTTTTACATGTGCAAATAAAGCAGAAAACAGCCCTCGAAGACATTGTGCAATTCAAGTTTAGAGAATTTATTGGCATTGCAGATTTTACACAGGTCAAAGCATTGATTCTAAATGGGGCCCTATGTGGAATCCAACACCAGAAGGGGCAGACAGATGAAAACATGCTTGAAGAGATCCTCCTAACAGAGTTTAAAGGCCCAGAACAAATTACCTGGAGTTCTTTGAGGAAGGTTACTTAAAAAGACCTTTTTCTCCAAGGAGGCAGTGACAGAGGTACATCACATCCTGTGAAAAGTGCCAGTACTGTGTAATGGCCAACATCGGATTGTACAAGTCTGTGCTTATTTGCCTGTCAGCTGCCTCAATTTTTTTTTCTGAGCGCATTAATTTACTCTTCCTTGCAACAAACATGCACCTCCCCTGCAAATAGTTGTTAAGAAGCCCTGCAGTAGTAACCAATTTCCCTCCTAATCAAGTAAAAATAATCCCAGAAATTAGGACAGGCCACATACCAAAGCAGTAATTCCTGTCAGCAGTTACCATTCTTGCCTCGCCCACTTCTTAACCGGAACCAGCACAGAGCCTGTCCAGTAAATTGGCTCAAAGGTCAGACAGTCCGCAACCCCATTCACTCTTATAAAGCATTTCACCTTTACTTTATGTCTGAAACTATGCATTTGCTGGACCCAATTCATTCAATTTGTCCAGCTTGCACCGTTATTGGCTTATCGTGGCAATTATTGCTAATAGAGATGGCCAAAAGTGAAGCAACACAAGTCTGTTTTCCTAAAACGGTGCTAAATTCACTGCTAAATTAATAATTAGTTGGAATAGGAGGATTCTCATGACAGTGGCACAACGTATGGGGAGTGGGATGAGGAAGTACTAAGTTCAGCACATCTGCAAAACAATCAGAATGACTGTAATATTACTGTGAGTCAAATGAAGCAAGCACCCCACCCTCCTATGTCAACATTACCTCGATACAGCCTTAGAATATGTACGAACTTCACTGTTGAACATGCTGGTGTTATGATGCACCTCTTAGAGTAAATATCCAAATCTGACCTCTGCTGCAGTATAAATGCGACATGGTTGCGATTCTTGTTTCTCCTTAGATAAAGTTGTACCAGTAGCTCTGTTTTTCACCTTATTAACTGATAGAATTTGACAACTACATTGACAGAGGTGTGGTCTGAGAAAGAATTTATGCTGTAATCACAACATAAGTCACTGAGTCACTGAACTGCAAATCCTATGCTATCCTTAACCATTGAGTCTCTTTTATTTATTTATCTTACCAGGAGAGTCCATTTTATTTGTCAAGTTAAGTTCAACAGAAAGTTTCACCAAGGTTCACTGATGCTGTCCAACCTGCTGAGTTTTCCCAATAATTTCTATTTTGTTTCTGATTTCCTGCATCTGCAGTTCTTTGGGGTTTTTGTTCCATGTTTGTCTGCTCTGCTTGTAATCATTGCCAGATTTGCAGACTGCAGCACATTGTCTTTTCTTCAATGTGGGCTGTTCAATCAAAACCAGTCCCTTTCAGTAAAGGCCTTGAGACACCTCTATTGGTGGGTTACATTATTTTTTTATGTACCTATGGGACGTGTGCATTGTTGGCTAGGCCAGTATTAATTGCCCATCTCTAATTGGCTTTGGGAAGGTGGTGGTGAGGTGCCTTCTTGAATCACTGCTGTCTCTGTGCTGCAGGTAGACCCACAATGCCCTTGAGGAGGAGATCTGCAATAGTCTGGATTTCTGAAGCTGGTGCCAACTGAAGGATGATGCAAGAACTTCTAAAAAGACAAAAAAAAGGTAAAGTTTTTAATATATCCTGAATGAGATCAAACACATAATTCTAAAAAACAGTACATCATTTGGTGGTTTCATATTGTTACAGAAAGGGTAAAAAGGTATGGGGGAACCCCAATTCCTTTCTCTTCTGTTTGTAATCATTATGGTTCCGTTTTGAATGGGTAGTGAAGTCAATTTTTAAAATTACCAGCATTGGTCATTTTTATTGGTTTAAACAGGGGGAATTATTTATTCAAACACTTACCTGGAGAGATCTAACATTACACAAGTCATACATTGTATGCTCAATAAAGATACAACTAAAGAAGACAGTATATATACATCTATACAAATATTAAACCAAAAGAACAAATAACAGTTCATTTTTCTTTGAAAGTCCATTGAAGAAGGAAGACATTTTCCATTCTTTTCTACAATTGATTTCAGATCCATTTTGAAAACTGGGGTCAAATACTTGGAATAACTGCAGGGTTCCTTCGAAGGTCCAGCGGGTCATGTGGACAGGCACTCAAAGCTGCTGCATCAGCAGGTCTAATTTATTAACAGGTAGACTTGGAGCTTTGAAATAAGCAGAGAGGCTTTTTAAAAGGCACTTATTAATCTTAGTTCTTGCAAGACAATAATGACACAATCCTCTCTGCAGCTCATGTCTTGTAGTTTGCATGCCGCAAACTGCCCCAAGTCTCTTCTACGTTTTGGGATTAAGGATTTTAAGTCCGAGAACCAATTCTGGTCATATGGTCAATAGTCACTGATATTCAGTTTCAGTAAATGGTGGTCTTTCAAGCTTCACTTGTGGATAACGGGTTTTGTCAGCTTGTATTCATTATATTGCAAACCTGAAACAAACAGTTTAGGAGTGCAAGGTCACTGTTTTGGGGTAATTTTCAACAAAAGCACTGTGACTTCCTCCAGACAGTGATAGTTAGGCATGTTCATTCAAGATGGATACCCAACCTATTCTACATATGAACAAAGAAAGAGAGAAGCCCATGTGGCCCTATGAGTATGTTCCGCCATTCAATAACTGGATGGCTGATTTGATTTTAACGTCAACTCTACATTACTACATATCCCTGATAATCTTTCATTCGCTTGGTAATCAAGAATCTAAATAACTTAAAAACATTTCAAGATTCTGCATCCACTGCCTTTTGAGGAATTCCAAAGACTCTCAATGCTTAGAGGGAAATTCTTTTTCGTCATCTGTCTTAAGTGGGTGCTCCCTTTTTTTTAAGCTATGACCTCTAATTATGGACTCTCCTAAAGAGGAAACATCCTTTCTGCATCCAGCAAGTCATGTTCCCTCAGGATCTAATATTTTTCAATGAAGTCCAGATTTATACAGGCCTAGCCTGCCTAACTGGGGAGGCAATGACATAGAGGTATTATTGCTGGAGTGTTAATCCAGAGACCCAGATAATATTCTGGGAACCTGAGTGTGAATCCTGCCAGGGCAGATGGTGGAATGTGAATTCAATTTTTAAAAAAAATCTGGAATTAGAAGTCCATTAATGACCATGAATCAATTGCCAATTGTTGGAAAAATCCATCTGGTTCACTTAGCTCCTTGATTGAAGGAAACTGCCTTCCCTACCTGGTCTGGCCTACATGTGACTGCTGACCCACAGCAATGTGGTTGACTCTTAACTGTCCTCTGGGCAATTAGGGATGGACAATAAATGCAGCCTAGGCAGCGATGCCCTTGTCCCATGAACGAATAAAAGAAAAGCATTTCCTCATAAAACAATCCACTTATTCCAAGTATTAGTCTAATAAACCTTCTTTGAACCACTTCTAGCACATCCTTCTGTATGTGCAGTGACTAGTAGTGTACATAGTACTCCAGATGTAGTGTTCACCAATGTCTGATTCAACTCAGACCTTTCTGGAAGATTGATTGTCTGATTGAAGTTGCAAAGTTCATTAAATTCTTTTGGCAGCCATCTTAATGGTCCATCATGTCCATTTTACATTAAAAAAATACTATTTTAAAATTTGTAATGTCTTTATCCCAGTTATGAGCATGACAATGTATATATATGTTTTTAAATTGCAGTTTTCATAACGTTTTTAAACTATTGATAATATGCATAGACTCACAAACATTATTCTCTCCTATAATGCAGTATCTGGTTCATCTACTGCTATCATGCAGCAATTTTACTGAAAGTGATCCCAGCTGACGGTACTGCTGGACAAGTCAAATCCCAAAATGATAGCTGTAAGTGTATGATGCGGGAGCTGGCAGTTCCCATGGGAGCTGCACAGACCACACCTGCAGCAAGTGTTGGTTGCTGAAGGAATTTCGGCTCAGAGTTGATGAGCTGGAATCTGAGCTTCAAACACTGCAGCACATCCGGGAGGGGGCGAAGTACCTGGATGCTTTGTTTCAGGAGGTGGTCACAGCTGGTAGATTAAGTACTTCAAATTCAGTCAGTGGCCAGGGACAGCAGGGTGTGATTGCAAGTGAGGCAGGTAGGGGGATCCTGAATTCAGGAATGGAGCAGCCTCAAATCCTGGCCTTGTCCAACAGGTATGAGGTACTTGCTTCCTGTGAGGATGAGGAAAAGGGCTGTAGGGAGGATGAGGCAGCTGACCACTGCACCATGGTACAGGAGGCCATTCAAGAAAGGAGAGCAAAATGACAAGTGGTAGTTGTAAGGGACACTGTAATTAGGGGGAATTGATGGTCCCTTTTGTAAGTAGGATCGAGAATTAATGGCACAAATCATCGCGAATGAGTATAATTTAGTAGCCATTATGGAAACATGGTTGCAGGATGGTCACGAATGGGAATTAAATATCCTAGGGTATCAGACTACTTGGAAGGACAGACAGGAAGGTAAGGGATGTGGTGTTGCTCTGATATTTAAGGATGCCATCAGAGCAGTAGTGAGAGATGATAATAGGTTCTACAGAAAATAAGGTTGAATCCATTTGGGTGGAAATTAGAAATTCTAAGGAGAAAAAGTCATTGATAGGCGTAGTCAATAGGCCATCAAATAATAACATCACATTGGGGCAGGCAATAAACAAAAATAACTAATGCCTGTAAAAATGGTACGGCAATTATCGTGGGGGACTTTAATCTACATGTTGATTGATCAAACCATATCAGTCAAGGCAGCCTTGAGGAGGGGTTCATTGAATGTATCCACAATAGCTTTCTTGAACAATACGTAATGGAACCAATGAGGGAGCAAGCTATCCTAGATCTGGTCCTGTGTAATGAGACAGAAATAATTAATGATCTCATAGTTAGGTATCCTCTTGGAAGGAGCAATCACAGTATGGTTGAATTTAGAATACAGCTGGAAAGTGAGAAGATAAAATCCAAAATCAGGGTCCTGTGCTTAAACAAGGGAGACTACAATAGGATGAGGGAGGAGTTGGCTAAAGTACACTAGAAGCAAAGACTTTATGGTGGGACAGTTGAGGAACAGTGGAGGACTTTCAAAGCAATTTTTCAAAATGCTCAGTAAAGTATATACCAGTGAAAAGGGGTAATCAGCCATGGATGTCTAAGGAAATAAGGGAGGCTATCAAATTGAAAGATAAGGCATACAAAGTGGCAAACACCAGTGAGAAACTAGAAGATTGGGAAAACGTTAAACGTCAACAGAAAGCTACAAAAAAGTATATAAAGAAAAGTAAGATAGATTATGAGAGTAAACTAGCTCAGAATATAAAGACAGATAGAAACTTCTGCTATAAATGTATAAAATGAAAAACAATGGCTAAGGTAGACATTGGTCCTTTAGAGGATGAGAAGGGGGATTTAATAACGGGAAATGTGGAAATAGCTGAAGCATTAAACAGGTATTTTGTGTCGGTCTTCACAGTGGAGGACATGAATAACTTGCCAATAATTGATGATAAAGAGACAAAGGTAGGTGAGGACCTAGACATGATGGTTATCATGAAAGAGGTAGTGTTGGGCAAGCTAATGGAGCTAAAGGTAGACAAGTCTCCTGGCCCTGATGGAATGCATCCCAGGGTACTAAAAAGAGATGGCGGGAGTAACTGTGCTCATGGTAATTTTTCAAAATTAGTTGGACTCTGGGGCAGTTCCAACAGATTAGCAAATAGCCAATCTGATGCCACTGTTTAAAAAAGGAGGTAGACAAAAAAATAGGGAATCTTGGGCTCGTTAGCTTAACTTCTGCAGTGGGGAAAATGCTTGAATCTAGTATCAAGAAGAAATAGCAAGACATCTAGATAGAAATTGTCCCATTGGACAGACACAACTTGGGTTCATGAAAGGCAGGTCATGCTTGACTAATTTGCTGGAATTCTATGAAGACATTATGAGTGCAGTAGACAATGGGACCCAGTAGATGTGGTGTATCTGGATTTCCAAAAGGCATTCAACAAGGTGCCACACAAAAGGCTGCTGCATAAGATATAAAGGTGCTCGGCGTAACAGGTAATGTATTAGCATGGATCAAGGATTGGTTAACTAACAGGAGGCAAATAGTGGGGATAAATGAGTGTTTTTCTGGTTGGTGAACAGTGACTAGTGGTGTACCTCAGCGATCAGTGTTGGGACCGCAATTGTTTACAATTTACATAGATGATTTGGAGTTGGGGACTACGTGAAGTGTGTCAATGTTTGCGGATGACACTAAGATGAGTGGTAGAGCAAAGTGTGCTGACAGTTTGCAGAGGGATATAGATAGTTTAAGTGAGTGGACGAAGGTCTGGTAGATGGAATTCAATGTTGATAAATGTGAAGTCATCCATTTTGGTAGGAATAACAGTAAAAGGGACTATTATTTGAACAGTAAAAAATGCAGCATGCTGCTGTGCAGAGGGATCTGGGTGTCCTTGTGCATGAATCGCAGAAGGTTGGTTTGCAGGAACAACAGGTAAGAAGGCAAATGGAATTTTGTCCTTTGTTGCTAAAGGCATTGAGTTTAAAAGCAGGGAGGTTATGTTACAGCTGTACAGAGTGCTGGTGAGGCCACACCTGGAGTAC